GAACAAAAATTTTGATTTTTACTATGTTTTACTAAGTAATTTAATTGATGTCCGGTAATTTTTGGTAGGGGTGTGTACATACAGCATATGAGAAACTTAGTGATTTTTATCCAGGTACATAAATGTTTGAGTAAAATTTAATGGAAATATATCCCCATTTAAAATCGTATTGATTCTGTTGGAGCCTAAAAGGATTGTTGATGCTCGATATTTCTAATTAAAGTGGGAATATATTTCCATTATAAAAATCGAATTGATTCTGATGGATGCCTCGGGGAATTGTTGCTGATTCTTCAAAGTTAAATGAAAAATCATTCCCACTATAAAAATCGAATTGATTCTGCTGGAAACCTAAGAGAATTATTGCTGGTTCTTCTGGAGCAGAGACTCGTTGAAGGGTAATTAGTGGAGTTGCTTCTAGAGTAGAATCTTGTTGGGAAGTCGAATGAGTCGCTGTTGGAGTAATTTGTTGCGGAGTTATAGGAATCGGAGCTGGTGTCAAAATGTGAGTCTCTGTCGCATCAAGAATTTGTTGAGAAGCTGAAGAAAGTGCCTCTGCCGAAACGAGCATTTGATGAGTCGATACAGAGGAAGAATTTGTTCGTTAGTTAAAGAAGAGATTTTAAGTCGTGAATGATTTTGTGGAGACGAACCAGATAATTGCGAGAGTTGTTGATTATTCGCCATTGAATAAGTCAGAATTTAGAGTAATTTCGATAGACAAAGGATGTTTAATAAAATTTCTTACGGAAAAATTGCGAAGAAAAAAACTTGGAGAAAGGCATCTTTTTATACAATTAATAATTCCATTCGGCAATTTAGATTTTATATTCATGTTTTAAAATATAGTGCAGTGATAATTACACGCCTTTTTTGAAATTAGATTCAATTCAACGAATATTCAACATGTGTACTGTTTATGTTGTAGATACATACATGGTGATGGATAAAGCGATAGGATATTAGTCGCCTTTGGATACATAAGTGAAGTCGCTTTTCTAAAAATCACTTTACAATAGTTATTAAAAGGAATGTTTTGATAAATCCCGCAATAAGTTAAATACAGACGGAACACCGATTAGCATTTATTTATTTGATTAAGCATAATAATAATAATAATATTTTTATTTTTATTTTTATTTTTTTTGAAAAAAAAAAGTAGATGTATTTTATAAACTGCAATGCATATTTTGAATCTGTATATCTATAAAGGTGGTTGCTTTAAAGAAATTCATTTATTTATGTAATTTTTGTTCACTATACATTTATTAAAAGTGTGAGGTATGAATGGTAGATATTATACACAATAAGTATGGGATTTTTTTGAAATACAAATACTGTATGTCGAAAACTTTTTCGTTTTGCGTTCTTGATATATTCCTAGAATATTAGTCACGTTTTACTGTGTTTTTTTTTTTTTTTTGAAAATACTGTATATATTTAATTGTTGGTCTAATGTACCACTGCATTTTTTATACAATAACTTCGTATAGTCACCATATCCCACATCGATGTATGAATGACTAAACGACATACAGTATACGTATTAATATTAAAAAATTTTTTAATTTTTTTATATTCGTTTTTTTTTTAATATGTACACTAAAAGTACTAAAAAAAAAAAGGTTTTCTTTTTTCCTCAATTATAAATACCCAAACATTCTTGAGGGCCTCTACCGAAAGAAAATCTTTTATCTTTTTTTTAATAGAAACATTATCACACTAAACCTACTGTAAAATAAAATAATCAATATTTCTTTTCTTTTTTTTTGTGTGTCTACTTCATATTCTTTCTTCAATGGGCGCATACATCAAATATATATTTTTTTTCCACATAAAAGCAAATTTAAATGGCGACTCGAGAGCTTCTTGCAAATTTCTTTTGTTATCCACTCATTTGTTCAAGTTTTATATTTTGCCTTCAAGGTTTTCCTTTTCCTTATTGAACATTTTACCGTCAATTTTCTAACAAGACAAATCATAAAAATGACTACAACTTCCGTAAAGTTCACGTCTTTTCAGTGTTTTTCCATTCAAACTCTTTTTCCTTTATAAAAAGGAGATACAACTAAATTGTACCGAATGCCTGCCAACAATACCAGGTACCACCCAAATTAGACAGTTCATTCACATTCAATTATGTGTTCCCCTCGAACACAGAACAATAAGATGTATTCCAGGATTGTGCGAACCGCTTCTGGACAAGTTAATTGAGGGTATGTGAACTCTATCGTGTTGCCAATATTTGACATTGCGGTCATAATCATCATTTCGGACAATATATCTACGTTATTTATTTCATTTATATTTATTTTTTTTTCTTTCAACCTATCTGACGTTTAAATTAATTTATGCAATTGTCAAACAGGGGCGGTAAAGCCTTTTTTATGGGTACCAATATGAATCAGTATTAGGGTGTTCGGACTTCGGCTTTTTCGGTACCGTTAATTTCGGCTTTATCAGTACCGTTAATTTTTGCTTTATTCACATTAAATCGACAAAATGGGCTCGGTCAATAAATTTATGTATGTCAACAATACTCTATCACGTGATTATAATTGAAATCAAAATTATACATACTGTATGTTTATATTATTTTAACTGACAATACAATTTCAAATTAAATATGATTCCCAATTATACAGCTTTACAAATAAATATTATTGATAATAGATTATCTATATTTTATTAACAGTAATTCGAATATAGTTTTTATTGATTTTTTTTAAATTTATTAATTTTTATTTTATAAATTGCTAATGAATAATATTTTCTTAATTAACCAATTTTTATAATTTGTTATTTAATAACTTACTTATATTATTATTAATAATTAAATTATTGATGTTTTTTTATTTTTTTTAAGTAAAATATTAATTTTTACAAATTTATTAATAAAATTATAATTAGGGCTCTGAAAAAGTACTAAACTGGTATTAAACTGATATCAAAATGGTACCAATCTATAGTAAATTTAATATATGGGTTGTGACCTACTCATATGTTTTTATAGTAA